AGACAGGACATGCTTTGGATACAGTACTTTGAAGCAATCAAGCCGAAACTGACCTGAAGCCTTCTCCCTGAAGAATAGCTCTCATAGTATCGGAGACAAGTGTACCTCTCACCACTCATCAGGAAAGCTTTTTGCAACAAATCGAGATTATTACAAAGTTTCACAAGTAGTCAAACATAGAGAATAAGTATGTGTGAGGTTCCTAGCCCTAAGTGACACATCTGCAATACAACCTCTACATGCAAGGCTCAGGGAACACAGCAGAACAGGAGGCAAAAAGAATACTAATACATCTCTCTACTCTAACCAGCAAAGCTTCCTCATGCAAAAGATGGTGATTAACCCAGAAAGCTATAATTGGCTAATGTGCAGAGTGATTATCTCTGAATGGAACACCTTTATCAACCCTCTGGCACCCAAGGCTCAGGGATCATTACAGAAGAGGGGTGGAAAGATTGTAAGAGCCAGAGGTGGTGGATAACCACAAGGAAACAGAGTTTTCCAGATAGCTGGAAAGTTACTCATATGAACTTACAGCAATGGTAGCAACATGCACAAGACCCATGAAATTTCAAGCCAGACAAAATTCCAATATCATAGTGACAAAGTAGGGAACCTCTTCCCCCCGACCCGCACGGATTTTAGCTGAGGAACTATTGGTAACCAGCAACTGCTGGGAGAGGAAGAGTCAATTTTCTTTAAGGGTGTGATGCTAGATAGGTTGACCAGGCTCCAGTGAATGGACCCACACTGGAGGTCATTTGAGGACACCACAAACTTGGCTCCATAGATCTTAAGATATGTAACAGAATACATGAATACTGGCAGGGGTGGATAAGTGGGGTACAGATAGGGGAGGGGCTCTAAATTTGGTTAAAATATACTGTATGGGATTCACAAAAATTCAATAAAAATAATAAAACAAAAACAAAAAGAGAATAATGGCCAAAATGAAATGTTTTGAATTAGAGTTTTCACAAGCACAAAGGGTATTCATTTAATTATTAATCCAATGACTATTTATTTTGAACCAGTAATGTGCCTGGCCTAGTGCTCACCATCTGGGATACTGAGAATGGAATTCTGTAAAATAACCATGCACTGTGTGGGAACCATAAGCCTTAGTTAAATAGAGACCCTTATTTGATATTTAAGAAGATAAAATAGAAAATACAAGTAGTTATCATCTCTTGGAAGCAGAGATCTAGGATATTTTGGGTTGAGAAGGAAGTTGTCATTGGATGCTTGTCTCTGCTTGAGTTGATCTGCCAAGCCCCATCATACCCCAGCACCTGAGCTGCTGCTTCCCTCCCTATGGGATAGTAGAACTCCCAGGGAACTGTATGCGCTGATTAGGCTAATTTCAATGCCCCATCTGTCTTCATGGCTCAAGATCTCACTCATAGTTCCAGAACGCTTCAGAACTCGATACTAAATATCGCTTCTCACTAAGAACTTACTGGCTGATTTAGTAAAATTTGAAAAGGTGGCTGCCTGCCAGAATGCTTTTGTGGAGATCAGAATCACAAGGTTCCTTCCCTCGGGAGCTTAAAGTTTTACCTCATCAAAGCTGCCCAAACCCAAATGAAGAATTTATAGGGGAAACAACCTAATCTGTGGAAGGGAGGCATGTGTTAGAATTGAAGATGTGTGTGCTTAGAATTGGGTAAAACCTGGAATCAGGAGAGGAAAGTAGTTTTCTCTGGAGTCAGAAACACATTACTTTCATCAACTTATGACTTACTGGATGTCTGACTTTGAAGATTTTAGCAAACCATTCTATGCCTTTGTTTCTCAAACTGCAATATGGGGAAAATAGCACTAACAACTTTGTATAGCTGAGTCTAATTAAGGTCATCCTGAAAGTGTTCTGAGATAGAAGAAGCAGGTGTTACTCTAGGATCATACTGGATGTGACAAGTGAGAAGAGTGCTATGGAAAGGGGAATGGCAGGGAAAAAACATGCGATGTGTTTACTGAGGCTGTGCTCTGCGTTATATCCTTTGCTGTGTGCAGGAGAAAGAGGAAATGGAAAAGGGGAAACATTAATTGAGTATGTGAGTGCCAGACATTTTCCACACATTATCTAATTAAATCTTGACAAAATTCTGAAGAGAAGGAATTGTTCATGATTTGTAGTTTGCAAATGGAGACTCCAAAAGTTTATATAGATCATAAATGACAGACCTGAAACTCAAAAGCCATCTAATTTATTTTCCAATCCATTCCCCACTCTTCAAAAGATGAACAAGTTCAAATCTTTCTTCTAAGATTCTCACAGTTTAGCATGACAGAACAGCATCATTATATAGATGGCTTGGATTCCATAATTATATACTCTGCTGTGCAATTGGAATTTTCTCTACTTCTTAATATGAATTTGCCTTGATTCTAGATTCTCCCATTCCTTAAATGGAAAGAATTTTAATCTTATTTATTTAAGGTAGATACAATGATTTCTACCATCTTCCTGCTCATGATTTTTTAGATGAATAGTAGATTCAAGAACTTTTCCTTCCCTTCTTTTACTCACAGGTAGGTGATGTTCCAATCCAAGTACTGGAATAATTTTCTGCTATTTCATCTATATCTGTGTTGCTTCTACGATTTTTCTCACCTTTGCTAAGCACTTCCAATTAGACTTCAAAGGAAGGCCCAAACCTAGGACATGGACTTGATTGTGGGGCTGAATCAGTCATGGGTTCAGGAGTACCAAGCCCACATCCAGGCACAGAGGCCTTAGAACACTAAGGCTGGCAGCTGACTCAGGCATACCCAGTCACATGACAGCCAGATGGAAGTGGGTGCCATAAGTAGACTTATTTGTCTTCATGTCTCCCTCCTCTCCACCCATGAGCTAATTTGAGGTCAGCTATATGTAGTGGCAGTGGATAGGCACAGAGCGAATGATGCACCATCACCCTATAGTTTTCTATATAAGCCTCCATGTAATTTTAATAAATGGATTTGCCCTCTGATGCTGTCCCTCGTATGTTCTGGGAGTAACCCTGTGCCGCACCCTCTTCTGCTGTTCAATTGGCATCCTTCTGCCCCCCAAAAGGAGGACCTCACTTGGCATCCCATGTAGCCATAGTAACCTAGACTTGTGGTGTAGTTAATACTCACAGGATAAGACATGACTAATGAGAAATGAGAAAAAAGAGAAAGTCATAGAAATCCTGCCTTCCCTCCTGTATTAATCACTTTTCTGTTGCTATGATAGAAACACTGACCCAAGCAATTTATAGAAGGAAGAGTTTATTTGAGCTTATGGTTCCAGGGGAATTACAGTTCA